GGGGCGGGGCGGGGCGCGTGCGAACACGCATGTCTGCGTGATTGGGTGTGAGGCACGGCGGGGCGAAGCAAGTGACTGAGGGGAAAAGCGGGAAAGAAAGAAAAAGGGGAAAAGAAAAGGAGGAGAGCCGCTTTGCACTCGTATTGCATTCTTGCGCGCGAAAAGAGGGCGGCGGAGCGGGGCGAGGCCACTCGAATGTGTCATTGGGTGTGTCCCGGAGACGTGGAATTATTAACGTATTTCAAAGGCAGCAGCAGCAGCAGCGGCGGCGGCGGGGCAGGCCCCTCGCGGAGGCAATAAGTAAGGGTCCCATGAGGCGCTGTCGGCGAGGGCGCGCGCGAGGGCCGTCCCCGCTGCTCCCCCGCCACCAGGACGTCGCCGCCGTCGCCGTCCTCGTGTCGAAAGCTGCGCCATTCCTTTAGTGTTTGTTCCGCCGGGCGCGACGCGCCGGCCGCCGCTCTTTTGAGGGTAATAAGAAGGGAGGCTGCGTGCGTGTCAGTGTGTCAGCCGGCGCAGGCGCAGGCCCGGCGGGGTACTTAATGTCTTATTTTCCCATGCACTTCCTCCTCCCCCCGTGCTCCCCCTCGCCGCGCCCGCGCGCGCGCAGCGCCTCCCCCACACCACCTAATGGTAATCACAGGCCGGGTGTCGCCTGCCCAGGACCCGGGGACCGTCTCTAAACTGCGCCATTTCGTGGTCGCTGTGTGTGTGTTGGTGTGTGTCTGTGTTGGTGTGTGTGGGTGTGCGTGGGTGGGGTGGCGGAGGGGGAGGTGGGCGGGGGAGGGGGTAGTAGGTGATTATCCCAGTGGCGGGTGAGGCTGGGCTGGGCCTGCCCTGGGGGTGCACACACAAGGCCATAGTGATGGGCATCACAATAATAATCACAATTAGAGTGCAGCAACACAGCGTCTGTTGCACTGGAGGAGAAAATGTGACAGGGGTTGGTCGGTTCATGAACGGGGTTGATCAACGTTGCTGCTTTCACGTAAAATGTTAGGCAGCAGATATTGATTACGAACCATACGATAAACCAATATCACGCATTGTTTCAATACTATCTAATAAATTAGGATTGATCACAATAGTTCAAAGTCAGTGGGGAAATCTTATTTCTAACTTAAAAGAACTTCCGTTAAAAATTTTTAACAACTTTCTAGTGATTAAAAACAAACAAACGTGGGTCTACTGTACAGCAAGCAGGATCTACGACCAGACCTTAACCAAATATCAGTTCATTTTACAACATCAACAATGGTGATGCTAAGAGCATTGACATTTCAGAAAGACAGGATCTAGTTTTCATCAATAATATGAAGTTTGTTTGTACTAACCTGAAACGGACTGCCAAACCTTTTAATGACCAGGGCAACTTCTTTCTAAATATCTCTCTGGTATCAAAACTAAAATTAAAAAGTAACATATAATATAATAAACTATAATATATAATATCTCATAAAAGCAGACATAAACAAGTAGACGCGGACGACAAACTTTCCACCTACAGCTGTAAAGCAAAACATAACAAGTAGAGTCGTGTCGTCTGCACTCCGCCGCTGGTCACCTTCTTTCTTTTTGTCTTCACCATTTCCCTCCATTTGCGCACTCGCCTTGGCTGGATGCAGTTGGACTGTTCGCGGCCGGGCATAGCCTACCTACTCCGCAGTAATTTTGATATTGAAAGTTCAACAAACATAGACTAAACGTGTTCTCAGAATATTCAACAAACACCATACATAACCGTGAGTCTAAGTAAGGTGGCGTAGCCCGTAGTGCAGGCGACATTATGAGTTGAACGTTTCGAAGGCCGGGGGCAGGGCAAGGGTGTAGAGGTTATCTACCGTGAAACACCCGCAACGTCAGCCTGTTCTAGTGAGACAATGAACTGGATTGAACCGTCCACCGCGTTCGCCACAAGTGAGCTTAGGTACGTGCCCTATGAACGGATAATTGTTCAGAGAGATATTTCAATTCCCTCGATGGTAGTGTTGATGGTTGTTGCTTTCCGTATTTGTAGGCTCTTTATTGCGTTGTGGAGTTTTTCTAGCATTTATAACCCCATTTCAATAGAAGACTGATAATTGGAGTTGTTTTCTTTATCCGTCTGAAACTGTGTTGCTCAGATGCCATGCTGGTCGAAAGATGCGGACGGGACTTCAAACAGCCATAACCTCTCATCCAAAGTGGCCGCGCCGCGGCCATCTTAGCTGCTCGCACAGGGAATGACAAAGATAGCAGGTCAGTAACAACACGCTAAAATCTTATGAACACTTTCTTTTACATCTTTCTGGGTTCTGTGTTACGTGCTACGCATGCACACAAAAATCGGTTGTCGTGAGTTTAAATGTTCAGTGGATTTTAGTGTGCATTCTTGTAGAGCAGGCAGATTTTGAGCTGCGATATTTATTCGTTCGTTGACGAGAGAGCTGACACCTTGAAGTGCTTGCTGACAACTTAGTACGAGCACCTCCCGGGGACTGTACAGAGAAAGTGTTGAGTGTGGGCTATCGCTCGCCTGAGAAAGCCTACTTGCATTCGTCTGACCTGCCGGTTGGTTTCCGCGACAGAGTCAGGAGGGAACCCCACCCCCCGACCTGCGACGCACTACGCCCTGCCGCCGCCGCCGCTACTACCGCCCTTTGGCGCGCCGGTGGGAGGCGGAGAGGAAAAGGGGGCGGCAGCGAAAAAATGCATTACGAGCAAATTGTTTCTCGTGTTTCCCCGGCCGCCGCGAGGGGGGTGTCTGCTGTCGCTCTGCATGCGCCGAACACGGCGGCGTCACGTGCGAACCTCCGTGCGCCCCGGCCCGGCGGCCCGCGAGTGGTGCCTTCCTTATTCAGCCCCGGCGGCGTGAGTGCATTCGACCCCTCCGCCCACCCCCTGAACATGGGCAAGTTGTCGCTGAAACTCGAGCAGCGCGCTGCAGCGGCGGCGCGGGGGCGGCGCGGGGGCGGCGCGAGGGCGGCGCGAGGGCGGCGCGGGGGCGGCGCGGGGGCGGCCGCGCCTCCTGCCGCTCTGGCCAGTTCCTGTTTCGGCGGCGCCGGCCGTCCAATTAGCGGCGGCGCGTTTTTGCCATCAGCTGATCTCACATGATGGTGCGGGAGGGATGTCGCTGCCGGCTGCGGGGGGTTTAATCTTGCTTCTAATCCTCTCGCCCTCCATCCTTTCCCTTCTTTTTCCTCGTCTTTCTGCTTCTCTTCACGCTCGTCCGGTCCTTCCCTGCGTCGTTTAGAACAGTGACCTCCTCCTGGCGTCGTCGTCGGCCTTATCATAGAGACGGCGGCATCCTTGATGGTTTCTCTTTGTCGACCAGATTCGTGACACCCACCTCGACGACGCCTACCTCGACGACGCCTACCTCGACGACGCCTACCTCGACGACGCCTACCTCGACGACGCCTACTTCCACGACGCCTAGCCCCGCAACGACCAGCTCTACGACCTCCTCCGCGACGTCCTCCTCCACGACGTCCTCCTCCACGACGTCCTCCTCCACGACGTCCTCC